GATGTATGAGTTAGTGACGAGGGAATTATTTTCATTCTATACTTTGATCACAGTGTCATTTAAGTGAAATGATACTACACACACACACACATAAGTTGTGTGTGTGTGTGTGTGTATATATATATATATATATATTCTGTGAGGTGGCACCATGTGTATATGTTTCTAGTAGCTTGGTCTGTACAGGAACAGAGCTTCCCATTCTGGCTTCTGGTGTGCCCAAGCCATGGCTTCCCTCAGCCTGCAGAGTGGTCAGAGGAGCCTCCAGGCTGTCACCTCTGGCTGCAGGTAGCCTGTTCACTGACCTTGGAATGCCCTACAAATTTCAAGTTGATTGTAGCACGAAGTGCATGCTGATAAAGATTTAAGAAGCACTGGTAAGAGACAGCTAAGATTTTTAGAGTTTAATTTCATTCTAGGTACCAAAAAAAGAAGGAAGAAATATATAACTTTGTTATAACTTTTTATCCACAAAGAAAAAAAAATTCATAGTCTACCATTTCTTCTTGTACACTCTGAATCAAGACCTCTGTCAAATAAGGACTGTGCACTTGAACTAGGAAAAAAATATTGCCAATTTTTGGTAGAAATTCTGTGAAATATTATGTGTAATATTTTTTTCTCTCCTCAAAAGCATGAACTTTTATGAGTTTGGTTTCTTGCAAGGGGAAAACCTAGAGCCTTGTGCATACTCTTCCTGTGCCTTCCTCTAAAAGTGTGAACTTTTCAAATGACAACCCTCTGACACCGATAGTATTACTCAGATTTTTAATACGTAATCTTTTTCCTCATACCCTCCTATTTCTCAATTCACCTTGTTCTTGTCAGTAGATGCATCCGTCAGCCATTAGCATGCTACCCTGCTTTTTCACTGTCTTGGGATTCTGGATATAAAACAGATGCTTTTAGAGTTTTAGAAATAGTGCTTGAATAGTCAGTGGCCATGTGCATTTTACATTTTATGGCTAATGAGGGAAACAGAAAAGCCGTGAGATTTAGGATAGAGAACCGAAGACAGACCATTTGTAAAGGTTTTTTCCTCTTTCTTTGCACAGTTGAAGGGGTCCTAAAATTGTATGACAAAACATCACAGTCATGTTATTGGTAAATGGACCATGGAGGTGATCTCCAGATGTCTTTGTTATGTCTAAGCCACTGATGTACTTTGAAAAAACATTTAAGTGATTCTGTGCATTCCATAGGTTCATACATCACCCCACTAGTAATTCTGATACCTTTATTAAAAGGAAACATTATTAATGCATCGGGTGTAAATCATAGTTTTTGTAACAAAACTGGACATTTCACTACCTTTCTGATATATCCTTATGCAAGTTTAGGTTAGTGATTTTATTTTTTATTTGGGAATTTTATTTTAAGGTGATGTATCTCAATTCATAGTTCTGATGCTGTTTTTGTCATTCACCAGAATGACATTTTAAGATGTTAAGAAAATAGAAATAATTGATGATAAAAGGTAAACACTTGTAAAATAGTTGACTTGAAAATTATGAAATAGTTATGCTTTATTATTTATTCAAAGTAAATTACTGTGTATTGAAAAGTACTTTTGCTAAAATCACTGAAATGACAAAAGTAGATTTAAGGAGTTCCACTGCTGAACTTTGCTCTTTTCAAACTGTTTTCTGGAAGAGCCTACAACATTTTGATAACTTAAAAATCAGGCTTTAAATTCTCCATGTTTAAAAAGTGATTGTTTATTGAATACTTAACAATTTAATTTCTCCATTTAATATCTCATTGAATTATTAAAACTATCATATTGGATTGTTACTGTTATTTGTTTTGTGATTGAATTTGAGGCAAATAGAATTTAATCATAAATATCCAAGGTCACAGAGTGGGAGGGGTGGGGTAAGTTGAAATGCAGGGTAAGTCCTGAGACTGGGAACCACAGTCTCATGCATGTCCTTCTGCTGCCTCCTGTGTAGCCTGCTGCTGTGCCCCAGTGCCATGACCCTCACCTGTCCCTCGCAGTCACCCTTGGACTTTATTTCTTCCTGTGTCTTTTTTTGTTAGTAAGTGTATGTGAGGGGGTGTTACTAGGGATTGAACCCAGGACCTTTAATTTTTTAAAAATTGATTTATAGGACAAGTAGGGTGGCAGTTACAGCACTTTCTAGTATTCTAGGAACGCCTCAGTTCTAGGTAATTTGGAAAGAGTTGGGCACCCTCATTGTACCCCTGACCAACCCTGTCTTGGCATCCATTTTATTCCTCATTCTGTAACCTTTGGCATGAGGCTTAGAGCTTAGATATGAGGGTAGGAAATCAGATGCAAGTCAGGATTTTAAAATATATACATTGCTCAATATTTAAAAATGTGTTTATACTTTTTTCCCACAACCTGGAGATTGAACTCAGTTCTATAGGCACCTACTCTACCACTGAGCTACATCTCTAGTCTTTTTAAATTTTATTTTAGACAGGGTGTTATGGTTTGTGACTGCATGTCCC